AAAATGGAATTGTAACAATTAAATTTGACCACATATGTCACACAATTGGCCAACGTTTGGGAAGTCCACATTCGTCAACATTCATCCACATTTTGCCTGTATCAGGGTGATGCAAAACGTATGATTATATCCCTGGTATAATCATTCTGAAATTTACATATGTATGATTGGTACATGGAGCTTGGCATAATATAAACAGGCCTACGATTTAAAGGTTTGATTACATTTCTTTCTACTCGTAGAATGTGAATGACTTGGAATAAAATCGCAATATGCTACTAGAAATTCTTTCTAGAGAGCAACGAATGTTGCACATCGCACATAAAAATTCTGGATCCAATGTCCGGGATAAACAGATGGAAAAAACCTGGTTGTTATACCGTAATAATTACTTCCCACTAACCTAATATAGCACAAACCTAACAAAGTGCAAACTCGATATTATATGCCAAATTTTAAACGATCGATAAGTAACATTTTACATTTTAAAGTCATTTTTTTAATGATAATATTTCTCGATAGATTCTTCATGATATGGGCAAGTTGTCTAAAGACAGGATCTGGCAAGAGGAACCACCGAATAAGGTGATAAGGCAATATAGCCTACTTATTCTTTGTATACGACTAAGCTTTTGTGAATGTGTACCCTAGTCATTCAATTATCAATTAATGCTATGAGTGATTATATTCAAACGAGTGTAGGCCTACCCAGTGTAAATGTGTATTCAAGACATTCCAAATTGTATTTCTAATACGTCTCGGAACAGTGGCATCTTTACGAGTCTTGAAATGGAGGGTAGGGGGGGGGTGGTTTCTGCTGATGATGGATGGGAGGGTGCTGGAGAGATGATGGAGGGGGTGAAGATGAAGTAGGAGGGGGCTCGATGATTAAGTGAGGGGTGCTAGGTCGCAAAACAGGGTGATCTGAAGTGATTTGTTTTGCTTCGAAATTTTCAATGAGGTGCATACCGGACCCTCCTTCCCCGTGCACCCCCATACTTTTCTGGTCTCGAAGTAATATAGTCCATATTTTTATGTGCATTTCTGTTTAAGCCTTTTTTCACTATGCATGTTAAATTAAGTGGCGTATTTATGTTTGTTTTCAAGGACTTTCCGGCGATTGAGTTCTCACAGTCTTTTCTGGAAAGGAATGCCCCGTCGGTGGGTGGTTTTTTTCGTTTCGTTAAAAACACAACGTTCCTGACTGCTGCGGTTGCTGGAGGCGTATGGCTCTACAAACATGTGAAAGGTTGAATACAGGTTGATGATGCCTGAATATATTAATTATTATTAGCATTTTATCAGAATAGAAACAGATATATTATTATTATTATTATTATTATTATTATTATTATTATTATTATTGTTATTTATTATTATTATTATTATTATATCGTTGTTGTTTTTATTATTGTTGTATTATTATTATTATTATTATCATCATTAGTTAGCCTGTATTACAATCAATTCGATCGTTTCAATTCAACAATTGTGAATAATTAAAAAGATAAATTGATGCTTACAGTCGGGTTATGATACCTCCCAATGATCCCAATACAGAACACAATCAAGAAGTTAGATACAATAAGAATTAATAAACAAACTTTGATAAATTTATTAATTAGACTTCATGCCAAATTCAGTTACAAATTTTGAAGTCGGTATACTCATTTTATATCGGCTTGTAACAAACTAATCTCACTACCATTAACTTGGACTATGATATTTCAAATGAAGCCAATAATATTCAAGGTTCCTCAATTATTTAGCGCTGAATAATTGTGTTGGCGCCGTCACACCAGATGTATCAAATTCTTGGAAATAAAATAAATCCTAAGATTATTTTTGAAAATCTTCTAACATCGATTGGTAGATTGCTAAGTAAATACTGTGTATCATGGTGAAACAAGAACGCTTTTAAAAATATTTTAATTTCATCTTGACGTGTGTATGTTACCCAAAGAGTAGAAAAATCTTAATACTTGCAAATACTGACGTATGTCGTTATGCGCACTTACGTTTGAAGTTTTTGTAATTTGTTTAACATTTTGGAATTTGTAGTACAGTGGCAATAAGTGTAGATCTTCCAAGACAATATAGGTGATCTAACTTCCTCTTCCTAAAAATAATGTTGGTGTATGTTTGTCTTTTAAAGACGCAAGTATATGTATCAGGAAGTCATATTCAAAGGCATTAATAAAATTATAT